ACAGCGAGCGCCACTGGGGCCCCGCTCCAAGGCCCACAGGCCTTACCTTTGTCATCGGCAGGCAAGGTTGCTAACCGCCTGCACCTGCGTCTGTCTGTCTGTCTGCCCCCACACTGGGCTTCCACTGCTGACTCCACCTGCCTTCGTGGAAGGCCGGAAGTGCAGAGTTAATGCTTACCTTAGAGCACCCCTCAACCAGCGACTGCTGGGAGTTGTGAACAAACACCCCGGCTCCCTTGTCCCTGGCACCGGATCGCTGTGAGGTGTGCACTCTCCATGGGCTGCGCGAGCTCGCCCGTGGGACTGAGCTCCAGGTGCTTCAGGGGCTGGCCACCCTGCACCTGCTTTCTTCGCTGTCTCGCTTCCTCACTCCCCTGCCTATGCTTCGTAAGATCCAGACAAACTACTTGCACTCAGCTCTGTCTCTTGGGCAGCTTCTGGGGAACTGAAACTAAGCCAATCGCATCACTTAGATTGGAAATGCCTGTGGGGCTTTGTGAAGCTAGGCCCTCTCCTTCCCACAGCAGCCATGCCATACTCTGCTTGGTTCCAGGTCCCTGTATAATTTGGAAATTACTTGGCTTGGCTTAGATTCGCTCTGGGGCCTGCGCGCCTGTGGAGCCAGAGCTGCCTCCGCACAGGCCGGGGGAGTCACCTGATTCAGCTGGCTGGTTCCTGGGCCCGGGCCCCACAGCGGCCCCACAGGGGCTGTTGCAGGTCCTCCTGTTTTCTTAACATGAAGACAAACTCAGATTCAGGAGCCATTGTCCTGGTCCGTTTTTCCAGTTGCTGTGATGATGGGGACAGAACATTTTAACAGCCCATCTGTGTTTTCCCTTACCTTTTTCTTTGGCTTTATTAGGAGTAAATCTCTTCTGAGACTCAGGGCATTTGCTATGGGCCAATGTGTTTTCTTTGCTAAACAATGTGGGGAATAGTACAAGGAGGTGGGAGGACTTGGAAGAACCTGGAGGAATTTTCAGGTAAAGCCCATTGAGGTTGCTGAGCATGGAACAGAGTGATGGTAGTATTCATGGCCGGATAACTTGTGCTTTAGGGAAAATGGGACTTCTGGGTTTTATAATCATATATAAGATCAAGTACAATGTAAAATTAAATTTAAAAATTAAAAACCATTAATTTCCTAGACCAGAAGTCTCCAGTCAGTAACTCTTGGAGCCTGACCTGAGGAGTATGCCTGAGTAATTCTTGGATCCTCACACTTCATGACTATATCCTGGCACCTCCCAGAGCTAAAGGAAGAGGAGGACAACTTGGACCTTAAAGCTGAGAAGGAGCAGGTACTCCTTTTGTGTAATAAGGTTTAGGAGTTACATTAGCAGAAGAACAACCATCACAGTGCAAAAGAGATGCCTGAGTTTTTTTCTTACATTCTAATCTAGAGGCCAGTCCACAGTGCAGACTACGTCCCACTCCCCAGTCCATGGATGTAAAGTTTCCTGTTTCCCCCCATCTGGCAACACAACTGTAGGACAGGGGGCACCAACAATTACCTGTGCTGAAGGTCGCATCTCAGCAGGAGGACCTTAGTTCCAGAGGATGAGGCAGAGAAGATAGGTTTCTATAGGGACTTGGGGTGGGGAAGGGAATGTGAATGAGGATGGGCAGGAGTGGAGGGGGTCTGGGTCTCCCACCTGCTAAAAGCATGTCAGGTGTGGGTCAGGTGAGATGCAGTGTGGAACTGCCCCTAGGGTGCTTCAGGGGACAGTCCCATTGAGCCTGGGACTCTGCACTCTCTTGAGCACAAAGCAGAAAAAGAACTGAGTATTCTCAAACTGTGTGTGTGCACATGTGCCTGGCTGAAGAAGAGAGCAGGACATCTTTCCCTCCCTCCAGTTAGCATCAGACACCTGGATTTCCTCAGTCTGAAAGATGGGAAGACAGAGAGTCAGGCATGGATTTGACCAGTCTATCCAGTCCTGTCTTCCAAGATAAGCAGCTCAGTGTTTGTGCTGCAATTTCCTTCCGCCAATTTTTGTACTGGAATTTATGGAACCCTTGGCAGGTTACTGGGCAGTATATTTGCAGCAGGTTAAACATGGGTACAGATTCTTTGCTGCTCCTTCTATTGAGTGGTGGAGTCTAGGACTTGACCCACAGAATGCGGCAGAAATGATATTCTAGAACTTCCAAGACTAGGTCTTAGGAAACCGACGATGTCTGCCTGGGTCTCTGCGAACACTCTCTCTGGACTCCTGAACTGCTGTGTAAAATGTCCCACTGCTCTGCCTGCGTGTGGAAGAGGTCATAAGTGATGTGGAGGCATTCTGGGGGTCAACACTCACAGCTGAGCCCAGCCTTACAGCCACCGCTGTTAAGGTGCCAGTGAGGAACACACTGTCTCCGGCTCCCTAGAACAGCCTGTCTCCAGCGGAACACCCCGTGGCCTCCATGCAGGCCACGTGGAACAGAAGAATCGCATGGCCCCGCCCTGCCCAAGTTCCTGAGATATAATGATATGATTGTTGTTTTCAGCCACTAATGTTTGGAGCAGTTTGTTGAGGAGCAAGAGGTTACTCTGGGTCAGTAATAGAGAGGAAAGATGTATTTCAAAGTTAGATCTGGATTCAAATTCTAGCTTCATTATTATTATGTGATCACATACTTGATGTTTTCTTAACAAGTTACATAGCTTCCCCCTGCCTCAGTTTCCTCCTGCGTGAAACAGAGGTGGTTGTATCTGCCTCACAGCTCTTCATGAAGGTGGAATGAGAAACAGACAACAGCGTCTGGCAGCTGAGGCTGCTCCACGGCCTTCACTCCCTCCTCTTCGCAGCTCTGCACAGCCTCCTCCCCAGGGTTCCTGGGTTCCCGGGACTCCTGGGGCCAGGGAGGGGGTGGGGTGCAGCACCTGCCCTGCTTCTCTGGAACTTGACTCCCATCTCTCTGCCCCAGCTGCTCACGACCATTCCTTTTAAGACCCACCATTTGAGACTTTGGGGAAAAGCACAGAATTCCAAAAGGAGCATGGAATTCCAGAATTCCATGTTCCTCATAAAATGACTGCGGATGGACTTCTGCTCTGGAAAAAGACTTCTTCTTGATTTGACTTAAAAAATTGTAAGGACTTGAATATCTACTCCACTTTAATAAAGAATCGGGGAGAAAATATAGACGGAAAAGGGTATCACAAAACAAATTAGATTTTTTAAAAAGCCACCTTGTAGTCAGTCCCCAGGCTATTTAAAGCTATCGGAAGCAGGAAAAATAACAGGGGCCCTGTGTGCCTGTGGAGGGGGTGGAACTGTCATGACCAGGGAAGGGATGTGGGAGGGGCTGTCCCTCGCTGGGTCAGTGGCTGCAGGGCACAGGCAGGTGCACATTCCCTGCCCCCGGTGGTGGGAGCTATTACGGCGGCTCTGGAGAAGCAGCCTAGAAACGGATATTGAATGATTCAAACACCAGAAACCACTTATGCTCTCAGAGCCCTTGGCTCACATTTACTGGAAACAATCAGCTGAAATGGGAAATTTATGAGCTCGCCTGCCTGCAGCCTCTTCACAAGCTTTACCTCTAAGGAGCTCAGTTTTCACCCAGACCCGGAGCCAGGGCTCACTGACTACCTTCTCATTCCCCAGTCTGCACTTGTCGCCTCTGATATGCTCACGTTCCTGTTAGACATTACTGCACGTCCGCCTGCCCATTGGGTTCTGACCTGAGGTTTGGATGGCTGCTCCTTCTTTGCACGTTTGTAAATTAGGCTTTTACGGTTCCTTTGGAACTGGAACTCTCTAGTAAGTCAGGGATTGGGTCCAGGAAATTCTAGACACTTGGACCTCAGACAAACCTGTATAATTAATGGCCAATGACTGTGGCTAGTATGTGTGTGTGCGATGTTAGAAAACACCTGTTGGGCTTGTTGAAGCCTCACAAATCTCCAATCAGATAGGAATTAATCCCATATTATGGAGGAAAAAGCTGAAGTCTGAAGAAATTGTGGCCAAAGTCATAGAGCTACTAAGGGACACAGCTGGACCTCAAACTCAGGTTGTTTGGTTCCAAATCCATTATACTCTGCCTTCTGATTATGATCAACATTGTTAATTAACTCTTTTCCTAGCCCTGGGTTGGATTTTCAAGTAGGCAAGCACAATCTTTTCCCATAAAAATACCCAGCATTTTGGCTGGAGAACCAATGCAAGGCACTGAAACCACACTGATTGTTATCAACTCAGCTGTCCCCATGTTCCAACCCATCTGCCATGAGCTTTTAAAGAATATTTAAAGTTACCATTTATGGAGTTCATTCTAGATGCCAGGCCCTGTGATAATTCCTTTACATATGTTATCCCATTAATCCTCATACCAGCTAAGATCTTCAATCTTCCCATTTTGCAGGTCAGGAAACTGAGGCCGTGAGAGGTTGAATAGCTGAGGAGCTGCGGAGGCGAGATTTAAACCTGGCCCCTGACATGAGTCACAGGCCTCCTGCGCTCTTCTCTCCCATCTCTGCCCCCAGTCCTGGGCCTCAGCCCTGATCAGCCTGTCAGGGAAGACAGAGAACAAGCACTTTAACTTCTGTCCTAGGAGGCTGGTGCCACCTCCCTCTATGGTTTCTCCAAAGGGAATTCCTCAGTGTTCCAACGAGGAATGGAAGAGAAGGATACAGTGCTGGACAGACCCCAAATAGTGCTGCTCACAACTGCTAAGGGAGCTTTGATCAAAGGCCCCCTGTGAGGAGTCTAAGTCATTGCCCCCAGCTCCGCATGCCATGAGGAGCTTCTGCTCATTAGAGCTACAGCGTGGTTCACCAGATCATGCCCACAAGATGCCGGGTCTGCTTGTCATTTTTGCCTTTATCAGATTCTGAGGGAATCTATGTTCCTGCCCTCCCCAAACTCCCCCTTCTCCCCACTTCAGTATGTCTGTTGGAGGCAAGAAACCCATTTGTCCTCTCGAAAGGCAACAAGTTGTTATGAGCACACAAAAATGGGTGGTTTTTAACCCCCAACTCAGGACTAGATCACCAAGGTGACTAGTTTGTAAGGAAATCTTAGGCAATCAGTCCCCAGCACCCCCTCTCCCCAAAGTGGTCATCTCAACTAAGCAAGACATCTGAAATGGTTTCTCAGAGGACGGGTCCCAACCTTGGTCCATTTTCCATCCCAGGCCTATATCAGAAATTTGAAGCCGACTGGAGTCTGATGAGGAAACTCTTTATTTAGTGAAGATAACTTGAAGTGAACTGGTTCCTGTGAGCAGATTTTCCTGCGTTCCAGATCCTACCCGTAGTGATTTCTAAGCAAGAAGATCAGCACAGCAACAATTAGGCCAATCACAAATAGATCCCAGTGTGGTCCAAGGGTGTGGCCCAAGTTCATCCATTTCCATCTCATTGTAAACTGCTGGTGAGAGACATTCTGTCAAAAAAAAAAAAATCCAAGCCTCCCCCTCCATTCAAAATCATCATCTCCCTCAATCCCACCCCCTAAGAGCTGTTCATTAGCGTCTCCAGGGATTTGGGACCTATTCAAGGCAAACTTACATTACAAAACAGGATATCTCGGAGCAAATGCACAGTTTCCAGTTTCACGAGGGCAAAGAACACAGGTATGTGAGCATCCGGACTTGTTCGAGCAGCCAAATCATATAGTCTCCTGGCCAAGTGAATGTTCTAGAAATAGAAGAACAGCCCACGCTCATTAGGGGCAGATTCTTTAGGGCTAATTAAATGGAAGCCATTGTTTGAAATATAGTAATTTATTTTAGGTAGGCAGAATGCACCCCCCACCCCCCGCCCTGGAGAGTCATGCCCTAATCCTTGGAACATGTTAATATATTATGTTACAAAGGCAAAGCGAACTTTGCCAATGTAATTAAGGTGACAAACCTTAAGATAGGGGGATTGTCCTGGATGACCCGGTGCACTCAGTAGAATCACGGGAGCCCTTAAACAATCAGTTTTCTCACGCACAGAAGAGAAAGTCAGAGAGAGGTGTCAGAGGAGTGGTCAGAGATTCCAGGCACGGGAAGGACTCAATTTGCCGTTGCTGGAGGGGCCACGCGGACAGGAGGAAGAAGAATGTGGGCAGCCAGCAAGAAAAAGGGGCCCTCGGTCCCACAAGTGTGAGAACCTGAGTTTGGCCAACAACCTGAATGAGCTTGGAAGCACATTCTTCCCCAGAGTCCCCAGTAAGGAGCACAGCCTTGATTTCAGCCTGGGAGACCCTCCACAGAGGACCCAGTCAAGCTCACCTAGCTCTCTCACCTACAGAAACTGTAAGATAAATGTGTGTTGTTCTAAGGCACTAAATTTGTGGTAATTTGTTACAGCAGCCATACACAAGCCAACAGTCTCCAAAAAGCTTTCCTGGATACCGCTGGATGGGATCTTAGGTGTGAGTCCAATTAAGGGGGCAGAAGGACAGTAGACACTAACAGGACAGCTCCCCAAACAAATGGCAATGCAGACAGTGATGAGCCGTTAAAATTCCTACTTTTCTTCATAGTACTTATCATACCTGAAGTTATGGAATTTGTTTATTCATTTGTCTATCTCCAGGTCCTTGAGGACAAGGCCTTGGACTGCCTGTCACCCCTGAATTCCCAGTGCTTAATGAAGTGCCAAGGACACTGTGAGTCTTTGATAATACTTGTAGAATGAGTGAATAAACTGTTTTGGTTCTCAGGCTGGAAGTTGACCCCACAAATGACATACTATATTTTTAATTTCCCATTAAATTATGACAAGGCAGATAAAAAATGTGTTTCATTTTCACCTACTTATGACTTGGTTTTCTTCGCTTTGTTTTCCCAAACAGGCTAAGCAGACGTGCTTTGAAAGGTGCCCTGAGGCAGTCTCAGAATTGTTCTTTGCTTGGGTTCTTGTAGGTTATTTTCAAAAGAAGGGGAAGAGGAGGAATTGTTCACAAATTGTGGTCATCTGGTATCTCTTTGTCTTTCGTCTCCATCTCCAAGACATCCATTACACGGGGTTCAATAGTGGTGAATCTGTGAGGCCCCTGCTAAACCCAGTCCTTGTGTGTCCTCGCTCAGGCTTGTCATTTCTTAAATTTTTCCAAAGCTTTGTGGACTGGTAGGTTTGTTTAAGAAGGAGGAATTTACTTGCTTGAAATACTTAAAATTCAGGAGACTGTTTAAAACCAATCTTCCTGGCAACAAAGAAAACGGATGCTTTAAAAACTCTAATTTGTGTCTCTAATGCCAACAAACTCAGTGGGTGTTCATTGGGAAGCTCCTGCCGATTATGACAGTGGTGTCACCCCTAGATGTGAAAAGCATATTGACTTGAGTGGGACGTTTGAGGAAAGGCAGCCTTTGTCAGTATCTCAGACATTCCTTCTTATTTGAGGCAGGAAATAGTTATTAATTATTTCTTGAGTCACAAACATCACAATTCAGTCGCTTAGCATATTATAAAAATTAGAAGAGAAGTGCCATTAAAGTGGGATGAGCACACTCCCGGCCAAGGAGGGTGGGGTGAGACAGGAAAGTCTTTCTTTAAAATTCCCAGAGAAAGAAATTCCTGAACCCTTCTGGCTAATTACGGCAACTCATATAAAATAAATTTTATTACTGGACTCTAGAAAAGACTCCTTGTTCTTTGATCCTATTTAGTGAAAAAATCCAAATTGTTCACACAAAAAATTTCCCCTTGTAAAATGGTGTTTTGATGATGGCAAGGGTTCATTAAGGAAGTCCATTGCACACCTAATCCACTTACATGAAACTTTTCTGCAGTGCATTAGAGTTTATTCTGCTTTAAACTCAGTGATTTAGGAGATTATGTAGATTTAGGACCTGCAGACTTCTTAAATGTTTCTAACCAAAATGTCACATGTGCCAATGTTCACATGTTGAAAAGCTGCTTATAACACAGATACAGAATTCCCTAGCAATAAAGTTTCTGGTTTATGAAAATTGTTCAATTACATGATTCAGGAGTTTTGCAGCCCTGAATCTTTGGGTGTCATAAAAAATTTCTTATACTGGGACAGAGGTGGTTTTTTTGAATAATTTATTATTATTTTCTTATTATAAATGTATTACATGTTAATTAGAGGGGACTTTGAAGATACAGAGCTAAACAAATAAAGAAAAAAACACCCACAATTTCACTGTTAACTACTGATAATTCATATACACCCTTCCAGCATTCTTAATATTTTCACATATACACACTTTGAGTTTAGGAATTTTTCACTCTGCATAATATTTTGTCTAACAATGTATTTCAAACAATATACCACGTCCTAAGATATTCCTTTAATCTATATTTTAATTTTTAATGGTTGCTCAGTATTTCATAATAATGGCTAATACTTGTTAAATATTTACTGTGTAACAGTCACCACTGGCATTTGTTTAAACCCCATGACAATTCTATGGGGCAGGTGATATTATTAACTCCATTTTAAAGATGAAGAAACTGAGGCACAGACAGGTTAAGTCACTTCTCTAAACTCATATGATTTGTAAGTAGCAGGGCTAAGGTTCAAATCCAGACAGCCTGCTTCTAGGCTGCTCACTTAACCAGCAGGCCATAAAATAAATAATGGAACAGTATACCACCTCGCCACTGTTCATATAACATGTTCTCTATTTTGGAGCATTTTGGTTGGTTGTCAGGTTGTTTTTTTTCTCTAATAAATAAAGCTATACACACATAGAAAAATTTTGCACATTTCTTATTATTTCGTTAGATAATAGACATTTATTTCTAGGAAGGTTATGGCCATTTCTAAGAGATGTATATTCTGTCCTGTCACAATTCTGAGAGGACCATTTTAATATCTAACTTTAACTTGCCCTCTCCAGAACACAATTCTATTCTGGTGTTTAAAGCTTCAGCTCTAACACTCCATAGGTGGCCAGGCCAGAAAAATGAGAAACAAAAATGCTTTGTGCCATAATTACTCTTATTTTTGACACTTCTATTTATACTTTAGTCAGTGATATGGTTTTATTTCCCCTACAGGATCCAAAAAAATGTGTTATCTATTAGATCTAACTATATATATATATATATAGAATCTAATTTCCAAAGGATAATTTCCTCTCACATTTTGTCTTAATTTAGATAGATTTCCTAGTCATCATCTTAAAACAGCCATGTTTTTTTTTTCTCTATTTTACAAAGAGTATCCTGTGTTATAAAAACATTTGAGAACAGGACCTGACAGTATTGATTCCTTTGCCTGAATTAGTTGTTTCCTTTTATTGAGTTTATAGTATTTCACTTGGGTGTGCATACACGCACGCCATTTCTGGCTTTCAGTTTAACAATGGACACCTCTTCCATGGGAGACGGTGAGCTCTTTGAAAGATGTCTCATTCTCTTGTATCCCCAGAACCATGCGCAGTGCTTCCTGACGCAGAACAAGGCCTTGATAAATATTTGAATAAGTAAATAGGTGAAGAAAAGCAAAGCACAGTACCATGGAAGCTTAGAAGCAGAGATCTTTTAAATCTAGGGATTCACTGAAGGTTTCATAGAGGAGATGATTTGGGAGCTATTTCTCTGAAGAATGGACTGGTCTTCAATGGCCAAAAGTGTGGGAGAAGATCATTCCAGCAAACGGAGGTGATCAGATCAAAGGTCACAAGGGTGCAGTTCAAGGTCTTTGGGGGAAAGGAAACAGCCTAGAAGAAGATATACAGGAAAATAGTGGCATATCAGGCCACTGTTAGGGTAGGTCAGAAGGGTTTTGAATGCCAGGGTAAATAAGGTGGAGAGGTAACAGCAGCAGAGTTATACTCTGTCAGGAATAACCTGCTGGGGTTTTGTTAGCTGTAATATGTGTTAACTAAGGCGATGCTTATATCTGCAACACATAAACCTCCAAATTTCAGTGGCTTAACATGTTCAGCAGTCCAGTGTGGATGGTCCTGGCTGGTGGTGAATTGTCTTCCTGGTTCTGCCATCCCTTAGAGCCTCTGGGAGAAGTGCCATCTACTTCTTAGCTGCCTTGGCCCAGAAATGACTGTCTTTCCTCTTACTTCCGCCCCTTTGGTGAGAATGAGTCACGCGGGTGTGAAGGGAGCCGGGAAATGTAGTCTCTGACAAGGAGACGCATCCCAGAAACAAGCCCTCCCTGCGCCCTGGGGATTACAGATCTTCAGTGGGCAGAGCTACCTCTGCCACAGAGTTCAGGGAAGAACACTGGAATGGGAGACCCCTGAGCAGCCTTTACGACCAGCACACCTGAGACACAATTCTGGCTTGAACCAGGATATGGACAGACGCACTGGACGGGAGGGGATGGGCAACGAGTTATCTTCATGGTCAGGTTTCTGAAGTGCTTCTGAATCAAGGGCGACCTGAGGGGGAGTTTGACAACAACGTGAGAGCTGAGTGCTGACATTTCTAGATTAGTTCAGGTCCTCTCCCGGTTCCTCCCCAGGTATTATTTTGTGTTCCCTGAACAGCGGTGCGGTCAGCCCTGGACCACAGTTTAAGTCAAGTGAGTTTAATTTGAAGTCAGGGATCAGGGATGTGATGTTACGCAGTGAAGCTACCAGGATAATCCACCCACATCATCCTAGTCCCAGCATCCTTTCCTCAAGACAGACGAGAACAATAAAAACCCATGTTTTTACACGGATTTATCAAGAGATGATCGACACCTTATGTCCTTCTCCCAGAGGGCTTCAGTAGAGCGTTTACAAAACCTGTTTTGATTCTCAAAGAAATCCTGGTAATGATGTTAGACTCATCTTCCCCACTGGTTTGCATGAGGTTTTACTAATAAAGAGGATTTTGAAGAGCCTTGCTGAAGAAATGTGTAATTACTTGATGAATTGGGTTCTGTGAATCCTGTTCTCCTAATTGCTTTGCTTTCATTAACTAGCATTGGAACAAGCTTTGGGCTTTTAATTATCGACATATTCATCTTAACAATTAGAAAAGGTGGTATCTCCTTGCTAATTGGATTGTAAGACAGCAAGATTAATATACCTGGCCCCTGGGTACCTGGTTATTATTTTTCTAATTGCTAAACAAAAGAAACCAATAAAGACAAAGAGCAATGGCCCCCCCAGCTAAATCCAAAATTAGACTTCAGGTCTGAGGTTAAGTGCAGCCTCTCTATTTTTAAAATGTAGAGACTTTTTGTAGGAAAAAAAAAATACCTGTGACTGAGAGACTGATAAAAATGAATACTGATGATTTAACAGGAACCCTGACCAAAAAGAACAGAAATGTGGCCAGAGAGAAACTTCAAAGTCGTTTTCTAGATGTATGAAATGTATGTCTCAACAACTGCTACGTGACATTGGAAGAGAGAGCCTAGGAGAGAGAGGAGAGCCCAGCAGTGCCTCCCAAAACTGAACCCCTGACGCTGTGGGCCACCTGGGAAGGCAGGCTGTGTCCTCTCCTGCGTGTGTGGCCTGTTGTCCTGAGAGGATGCCCCTCCCCGCCCCAGGGGTTCAGGTGGACTGGCCTCACTGTGGTGGGGATGGGGCTGTCTGGGGGACCAAGTTCTTCTTGAATCACATGGGGACAAGAGAGCTAATTTGAATTTAACCTGTGGGGTGGGGTTACTGCTATCCTTTTCACAGACACTGCTCCTCTCTCCAAGGTTGTTATGTTTCCCCTGGGGAATGATGAACAAAAGCTTTAATCCTACTGAGGCAATCACCCAAATTCCCTTCTGATCTAGATAACAGTCATTCCACACACTGTTTCACTACAGAGCTCTTTTAACAAAGGTTCACTCGTTTTATCCTCAAAGCCCGGGGCAGGGCTTGTATCCTGGTTCTGTTTTACAGATGTGGATGACAGTTGGTGGGGAGCAGGTGCGGTGAAATAACATCCAAAGAATCATCTTATTTAGCTGTTCGATCCAGTCCTCGCCCCCGCCCGTCCCTTCCGCAACACAGGAGCTTGCATCCGCTAGGAATGGGGAACACAGACTGGGTTTGGATTTGACATTTTTTTCACTGATTAGGGTGCCGGCGATGATCAAAAGTGATGAGCCCAAAGGCAGGCACAGGAGAGCGCAGGAGGGCGGGGACCTCTACCGCCAGACTGTCATCCTGAATAAGAAGCCCCTGCTGCACCATGTGTGCACCGAGAGCAGTTGTCAGCTAGGAAATTCCCTACCAGTAACTCCCAGTTGCTAGCACAACTGGAAGGATAAAGAAAGCATAGAAATTCCGATAATGCAAAGTCCACTCTTTCAACCAGAAACATGGAGTCAGATAGGTCTGGGTTCAAATTCTAGCTGAACCACCGATGTGCTGTGCAAACTCGGCCAGTGACTTAACCACACTCCGGTTTCCTGATGGATACATGGAGGTCAATAACAGGGCTCATCTCAGCAACTGGCTGTGTGATTTAAGTGCACATAACACGCCAACACCTGGTCGTTAACAATCATTACTGATATTCAATTCACCTTTCTCACCCTGTCAAACTCCAATGCCTTCTTCTGCCTCAATTACATTTACTGTCTAAAGGATTCCCCCAATATCACCCTGCAGTGCTGGCTCTCTTTCTTTTTAAATTTTATTGAGTTATACTCAGTTTACAATGTTGTGTCAATTTCTGGTATACAGTACAATTTTTCAGTCATACATGAATATACATATATTCATTTTCATGTTCTTTTTCACCATGAGCTACTACAAGATCTTGAATATATTTCCCTGTGCTATACAGTATAAACTTGTTTATCTCTTCTATATATATCTGTCAGTATCTACAAATCTCGAACTCCCAGTCTGTCCCTTCCCACCCCCCTTCCCCCCTGGCAAACACAAGTTTGAATTCTACGTCTCTGAGTCTGTTTCCATTTTATATTTAAGTTCATTTGTCTTCTTTTTCTTTTTTTTCTTTTTAGATTCCTCCTATAAGTGATATCGTATGGTCTTTTTCTTTCTCTTTCTGGCTTACTTCACTTAGAATGACATTCTCCAGGGACATCCATGTTGCTGCAAATGGCATTATGTTGTTGTTTTTATGGCTGAATAGTATTCCATTGCTAGCTCTCTTCTTAATGAACATGCCTCATCTCCTCAAGTCAAGTGTAGCCTCTGAAGGATGGGGATCCGTTTTCTTGGGCCTCTCTAGAGTGCTCAGCATGGTGTCATGGATGCAGTGGGGGTTTCAAAAGATGTTTCTGGATTAATGTCACCTTGGTATCCAGCTCTGACCTCATTTCCACCTTCTCCTTATTACTGAGAGCTTGAGAGTCAATGGAAATTTTAATGGAAAAAGTCCCAGAGGTGGAAGGGAGAAGGGGCAGGGCCCACTAATGTTGCTGGAAAAAGCGTGAATTTATTATGAATCAAATTGGCCAAGACTAGATTTATTCTACTCATTAGTTATGTCCTTGGGCATAATGGAGAAAATTAATTCTACCTCACAGGGTTCATATTAGGGTACGTAATATGTGCTGGCACGTGGGAGGGACTCAGCAAATGTTGAATATTTTCCTTCCTTTCTCTACATTGATGACATCAATGACATGTAGAACATTTATAAATTTTTCCTTCCCATAGCACTGCCATTACTAGGTCTGGATGATGACCAGCACAATTACCTTTGTGATACCTAAGCCGTGTTCATACATATAGGCCAGGTTGAACATGGCCTGTGCGCTGCGGTGCTTGTCGGCGGCGATGCTGTAATGTGTGGCTGCTGTCTGATAGTCTTTCTTAGTCCCGTAGCCATAGTAGTGGTAATCTCCAAGTTTCACTCTAGCGAATGCATTGCCTGATGGAAAATAGTAGAAAGAGAAGGAGAATAATAACTCAAATGATTCATGTACAGTTCCTAGCAACTCAGCTTAATGATAATCTATATAAAAATGACACCAAAAAAACCCACTCAGAATCCCAGAATCAGGATTAGATTCCATACTTTATGGAATACAAAATATAACACACAATGCTAGCTGTCTTCATTGTAGGATAACTCCTACGGTATAGTACAAATGTTCTTCAGAATAAAAAATTATTAATTTTACCTTTTAAAGGTAGGCCAGTGCTTGGGAAACTGGATCCCACCCCTGCTTTTCCCAGACCTCACTCCTGAAGAGCTACTTTCCTGCATCACCAGTTTCTTCCCCTTTTCTAGTCCCATCAGTCATCCAAACACACCTTGGCATCTTAGAAGAACAAAACAAACCCTTTATCCCATGGCCTCCTCTTGTAACTACTCCCCATTTCTCTGTTCACACTCAGCCTTTTCAAAAGTGTGCTCTACTCACTGCAAAGCTTCACCTCCCACATACTCTTCAACTCACCCCAATCTGGCTTCTGCCCCTTCCTCCAAGACACTGTTACTTTCAAGATGGTCAGTAACCTTCATGCAGCCAGATCTCTCGGCCACTTCTGTCTTCGTCTCACTGGACCAGTAAGCACCACTGGACATTGGACCTATCTGCCCAAGCACTTCCGTCTCTGGACTTCCGTCTTGCCTCACAGGTTCTCCTCTTCAACTCTTGACTGACTCCTCCACTCCACTTCTGAATGTTGGAGTATCAGGGCTCATTATTTAACTCCTTTTCCTCCTTTTTTCCTCTCCTTTCTTTTCTTTTCTCTCTTCCCTCACCCACCCTTCTTAACTCTTTTTCTAGGTGATCTCATCTAGTTCCATGGCTATCTTCATGTTTACTGTTCCTGAATTTGTATCAGTAGTCCTGTTTCTGTCCAAGCCCCCGATTCCTACTACTGCATTCCTGACTCTTCTACTTGGATCTCAAACTTAAAACATTTGATAGAGATTCTTAACACCCTGCTACCTCTTCCCCCAAACAAAATCAGTTTCTTTCCCCGATTAGTACCAGCACCACCATAAATCTAGGATAATTATTCCTAGTTCTTTCCCCCTCACTTTCAGGATCAAATCCATCAGCAAGTCCTGATGGTTCCACCTCTAACACACACTTGTTTCTCGCCATCTCCTCTAACATCCGGTCTAAGCCTGGAAGACTACAGTAGCCTCCAAACTGTGCTTTTATCTCCACTTTTCATTCTATTCACACCAACAGCCAGGATGATCTTTGTCAAGTGTAAAATCAAATCATGTTATGTCCTGTGTTAAGTGAGACCCCCCAAGTGCTTCACTTTGCACTTGGAATAATATCCGGATTCCTTACCTGACCTACAAGTTGTGCCTTATCTGCCTTCTGCCTCCCTGACTAGCCTATTGCACGTCACTTTCTCCATATGTTCTGGCCTTCCTAACATTCCTTCAACCCCAAAATGCATGCCGCGCTCACTCTTGCAGCATCCCTGCAGTGAGGTCCTTCAAGCCCCTCCCTCTGGCATGTTTGGAATTCCTCTGACTCACCACTCAGGTCTCACTGCAAATGCGGCTTTCCTCCTAGAGCCTTCTCTGACTCCCTTGTCAGACCGCACCCAGGACTTACCCATCTCGCCTCCCTGTGTCATTTCCTCACAGCACGTATCACTGTTATTTGTTTCCTACTTTCTCCCTCTCTCTCTCTCATAAGAGAGAACTTTGAAGCTCCCAATCACTGACATAGCTCCAGAACTGGACTGGTACTTGATACATATTTATGGAAGGAATGGATAGGCATGGTAGAAAACTTTTTCGAAAATGCTTTCCCCAGATGTCAAGTATTTTAGAATCTTAGTTTCTGACATATGAACAAATATATTCAGGAGCAGAAAAAATGCAAGTGACTTTTTAAGATATGAGACTTTAGCTTTTTGAAGACCACTTAGGGATGACCTCCAAGGGTCTCTTTGGGGTCCATGTTTTCATTCACTAGGACTATATTGATTGAAAAGATGGGGGAATGCTCATCTAGGACATCCGTCTCAGCTGTGGCCAACTCCTCTCGCACAATCCACACTCACTTGGAACAGGAGGAAGTATTCTGTCTGCTATGGTCTGACATGCATCATTAAGGGCTCCTTCCAAGTTTTTCTCCCCATTTGTCCTAATGCAATGCCTATAATTTTTTGGAATTTATTCCTTTGGGTTCTGAAGTTTTTTTTAATCTTTTGCAATCCTCTACTAAAATGTAATACCATGAGCCACCTTTAGTTTCCTCGGCATAGAGGTAACATCATAAAATTCTTAAACTGCCAAAGACATTAATTATCAGGGTCTGCATCCCAGGTACTTCCAAATGCACAGGTAGCTGGGGGCAAGACCTTCTAGAAATGATGCCCAGGAGAGGGACCTGGGGGGGCCTGGAGAGGCAAGAAACCCCTGGAGCTCTAAAGAGAAACCCACTCTATCTCTAATTTTGCCCAAAGCCGCCTTCCTTTGACCCTAAGATTCCTTCTGCACCATAACCACAAAAGAACAGGACTGTGCAGTTTTGAGCTTTACAAGCAGTAAGCAGGACCCCAGAGGTCTGTAAGAATGAAAAGTTGTGAACGAACAGATTCTCCAGAGGTCTCAGTCCCACCCTAATTAGGGGATCAGGGGCATATGGCGAGCCCCATAGGTTCCCAGGGAGCTCACTAGATAGTGGGAGGGATTTCCCCTGCAATGTCACAGTCACAGTGTGGTGACTGGGTCCTGATGGTTCGGCACCTCCTCACCTGCAGCAGCTCTTGGAAGAAGCACCACCAGCGACTGGGAACTTTCATGAGTAGATTTCCTAACCCCAAGTGAGTCATGCAGCAACCACATCTTTGGGCGCACTCACGCCTGACCTCTCTGGTGACACACAATTCTTTTTAGTGGCCTGACATTTTCATATTGGTGAATTCTGCTTAATATTAATGTCTCCTCCTTTTCCATGTCTCTTTCCCTTGGTGCAACTTCCACACCATTTCCTGGCTTGGAATAAACCTGTACTGGTTACACTTGAGCTGATTTGCTACAGCTGAGAGGTTGCTGGTGCTGTTTCCCCACTTCAAACGAGGTCTTTATTACATTTTGGAAAATACAGACTTCCTTTTTAGGGGATTTCTCACTGGAATCACGTGGATGGCTTGCTGCTGCACCTGCTCAGCTGAATCTAAGAAGGCACCACTGTGACTTTTTCTTCCGCCTCATATTAGCATCATCAGAGAATTATTTTTCATCCCATTCATTTTTTGTAGAAAGCGGATGATTCGGCCTTAGCGTGAGACAATTTTAAGAAACTTAATTGGCAGTAAAATTGCTCTCTTACTGCAAGAGATTCCTACCACATATCCAAATGCCAATAGTGACAGCTTTGCAGTAGCTCTCTGCTTCTGGTGACATAATTTTAGGGAAAGATGGTAGTGAGACATAGCAGTGCAAATGCCTCCTGTCACTGCTTTCCCACTGGCGCTATCCTACGCTCACTGTCACTTGTGATCCCCACAGTGGGGCGTGGAAACTCCAGGAAAGGGGAGAGGATCTTGCTAATTAACTTTTTTCCCCCGATGCTACCATGCTGGTGGTTATAATAAAGATCTGAAGTTTGTGGTAATCCTCAATATTATATTTTAAAAGAAAAATCAAACAAGTCTTAGAACTTTACCTATAAATTCACTGAAACATAGGTCATGCTTCTGATAAGTTCAGAAAAAGCTCAGCAAATGAGGGACTGAAGCCAGACCAAGAAAACTGATTTCTTGAGTACAATTGTCATGTTTCAAACAACTGTTCTCATGCCATGGAGAAAGAGCCAGAGAAAAGTCCCTATGGTGTGCTAAACTAGGGGCCTTGAGAATAACAAAATAAATTCCTGGAAATGACCTCTAACCAGACTGACCCTAACATCAGCAGTTGGCAATACCACCTCCTGGATGCCTGCACCTCTCTGCAGATGTACCCAAGAACTCAGCTGGAGCAAATCTGCTGACGAATAGTGGACAGGGGCCAGGTATGTGCTCATTTTTATCTAAGTTCTGTACCTTGAATGGCAGCTCGATTCCACAGGAGGAGTGCCATTGGATACATCTTCTCTTTTTCAAGAATTTTAGCCTTTTCTAAAAAAAAAATAAAAAAAGGAAGACTTTCTATTAGGAAGGCTTAAAATGCCCCTGTAGTAAAGTCATATATGCATATGTATGATTGGGGAATTGCAGGGAGTTTTAACTTACTGGATTCCAAAATGAATGCTGAATTGCTCTGAGCTACTTCATACCCCATTTCTGCAAGTAGTGCATACTGAACAAGAGAAGAGTCTATATCACCATCCTTGTAGGCAAAGTACGCTGTCAGGAATTTCTCAGCCCAGTGGCCTAGTTCGCAGACACCTTTATAAAGCTGTATATAGGAAGAGAAATCAAGCAGACTAGTTAGCCAAGACACTCCATCCCAGGTAAATGATAAACGGCAGTCTTCAGTTCCTGCTGGCCAGCCAGGCAAGGATTTTAAGTCTGAAGCATGGCTCTTATAAATTACTTAGGATGAGGAGTTAGTACCTTCCATAGGCACAAAGATTACAAGTGTGACTTGTAGGCTATTTGGCAGGACAAGAATGTATCAATTTCTGTTTTTGTTTTTGTTTTTTTAAAAGGGCCTTTCTGGACACGGCTGCCCTGCGAGGGTGAGTTATAAGGCTGCAGCTGATGTGGAAAAGAAAGAAGAAAGGGAAGACAGTGCCTGAGGGTGTAGGTGACATAACCATGAGGGAGCTGTGCAGAGCTCTATGGGGACAAATGTCAACTTAGCTGAATAGCCCTTATGTAACCAAAGAGGTTAACCATACATAATTCATTAGGAAGTTGGCAAAGGAGAAAATCTAAAGATAGATTATTAGCTGGCAGCTTTTGAAATGAGTCTCAGATGGGCCAGATTGCAGCACGGAGGTATTTATATTGGCACAGTGACAGTGTTTAATAAATCAATGAAGGGCATTAAGGTCCTAAAAGCATTCTTTTGAGAAGTGCATCACTATTCCAGGCTGAAAGAATTCACCTTCTCAGTTGTCATTCAAATCATAAAAAATCCCTAAGGACCCTGCCTTCTGGGAAGAAGTGGGCTACATTTTCTAGCCTAAATCAAGCCTTTCATTTCCCAAGCCACAACTCCCAACCCCACCAGAAGGGCCAAACTGCCCCGCCAATTTGATAAGAGGCTGAAACAGATCTCTGAGGCGAGCTCTGAACTTGATAAAAGTCAAATGCGAGAAAGGAGGGATCATTTCTCTTCCTCCCTTTCCCTGTCTGAGTTACAAATGTTAGTGTTCACATTGTCAGCTGAAAGAAACAAGATAATATCTATAAAATCAAAGGCACTAACAATTTAAGCACAGTATCACCTCCTCTGTGTGATAAACGAAGCATATGTTAGAGACAGCCCACTGTTTACCTCCACGGCGGTTCTGCATGATCGCAACACTCCCGTTCCCGTGGCGTACATCTTGGCCAGGTAATAAATGGCGAGGGGCTGCCCACTCTGAGATGCCAAGTAAAAATATTTGAAGGCAAGTTTATAATCCTTCCATACTCCAGAGCCAGCTGAAAATTAAAATTATTTTGAGCCACCCCTTGTTTAGATTATTTTTCACATTTATAATCTATGGATGAAACGGTCCTAGTGATGACTGCTATTTTATTTTATTTACTTATTTTTGTTTGTTTCTTTCTTTTCCCTTTTTCAGTTTTAGTAGGTAGAATAATTATTTTTTTATTAGGTAGAATTATTACAGTTCGACTGCACATACACATTATATTGCGTGTAAATACATATACACAGTATACTGCACTTTTTTTAGTTTACATATGTGTATTGATTATAGTTTCTAAGAACAGATTAGAGCTTTAGCTTTTTAAACTTACATAGTTATCAAAGAAATAAAGCCAATTACAAAATAAGAATCAACAGAATGTGGTAATCCAATCATAATGGACAGTCAAATGTGCTTACACATATTCAAGAAATCAATCTTCTAAGTTATAAATAAGTAGTTCATTTATGTCCTTATTATTATAGTTGTTAGTTTTTAGATTCCTCATATAAATGATTTCATATGGCAATTTTCTTTCTCGATGCCTGCTATGTTAAATAGGATGAGAAAAGCCAACCAAAAGTCAGACTACTCTAGATCCACAATTTGAGGGAAGGAAAGTTGAGTTAGATTATAAGAATATGGAAATGTATGTTCTTGACTCATTCAGAAAACTGAAAGAGAAGGGACTGTTTAGCCATGAAGACATCTCCTCAACATGGTACAACTAAAGTTAATGAACAGGAGGCCACGTGGTATTCTCTGAGGACCAGAAGCCCCTCCATGATGTGTTGCACCACCCCTGTCATCCTTCCACACCAGAAGCCCAGTGTAGCTCCCCCCAGCTAGAACTATGGATCCTGAAGCAGGCAAATCCCAGCTCCAAGAGGCCGAGCTCAGGCTCAGCTATAATGCTTGGAGCAAGGAGAGGCACTTGGAGCCAGGGTGGAGAATCAGCTACTCCCAGAAGCTGGGATTCCTGTCCTGCCTCTCCCATTACCCCTTCTGTGAGTTGGGCACCCCTAGGCATTTCATTTGCCAAAGGAAGGGCTTTCAGGAGGTTCTTAAGTTACCTTCCAGCTCTAACATTTCTTGGCCATGCAGCTAAGAGCAAAGACTCTGGAAGCAGATCACTTGGTTTGAGTCCCAGCTCTGCTAGCTGTGTGAGCTTGTGCAAGATGTTTGACCTTGATGTGGCTCAGTTTGCTCACCTGTGAACTGTGGGACACCCCCTAGCTGTGTTGAGAGGACTAAATACATGTAAGCACATATAAAGACTTAAACATTAGTCATAACTATTACTCTTATTCTAGAAGCTTGAGGAGAGGATAGATCCTGGGCCTGGGACCTGGAATAAACTACAAGAAGCAGGACATCTTAGACAACCTCCCAAGATGTTACAGAACTGGCCCTCCACCTGGGCTACTGTGGAAAATGCCAGATCTGGCTTCTTGATGATTCAGTCTGCTGCTGTCCTTGCTCCCCCTCGGACAGGAAGGACCTAGCAGGGGTACTGAAGTATGTTCAGGTCTCCTGGTACGTGTCTTGCCCACTCTCTCTCTCTCTCAGTCCCCACAGAGACTACTACAAACCTTCATGGCTTTCTGAGACTTCCTACCCCAATCACTCTAACTTCGCTCTCAGAAGATAACCTTGTACCTCTGAGCTCATTGAGGGAACCTCACATTATCTTTCCTCACTTGCCTCTCTCCCCAGATTTACAGTTGTACCATCTATTCCCCCATCTCTCCAGTCTTCTAGGGTAAGAAATCCCTCCTCTTTATCAAGGCTAAAGAGGCCCCCACCTACCTGGTCAGATAAGATCAGAAATGCCACCTAAATTTTCCCAGAACCTCTTCATCAATTATTGCATCTCTCCTGTGACACATTAGCCACCTCCATTGGCTGGCTCTCTCTCTCTCTTTTTTTTCCTGCCAAAAATTATACTCAGGTCTCTTACCATCTAAAACAAGCCCCTCTTAGTTCTTGGTCACCCCCACCCCCACCCTATGCTACTATGCCATCTCTCTCTTCCATTTAAAGGTACACTACTGTCAAGAATATTTTTACTCAACCACTTCCTCTCCTTCCGTTTATACCTCGACTCATTGCATCTGGCTTCCATCCCAACCAGTTTGATGACCTCACAAACATCCTTCTTATTGATAAGTCCCTTGGATACTTGGCCCTTTCTTACTTTTTGCATTTTTTATTTTTTGAAAAGTGAGAACCAAGCTTCTCGTTGCATTTTAGAGGGGTGCTCATTCATTTACTCTTTCTTGAAAGTTCTATCCCTTATCTTCCTTAAGATCATCTCCCCACCTCATTCCTCTGACCATGCCTTTTCAGTCTTCTTGTGACCACTCTTTCTCTGCCCATCTTTTCATCATGGCTCCAAAGATCACCAGATTTCTCACTATGGCTCACTGCTCCTTCATCTCGCACACTCTCTCCTTTCCCTTTGCAACCTCAGCTACTCTTATCTAACACCTGTGTGTTGATGCATCCACATCTTTCTCTCCAAGTTTGACCTTTCCTGTGAGTTTCATACGTGCTTCTGAGTATGGTACGCTGGACGTCACAAGGCACCTTAAACTTCAACTTTTCAAAGGTGAGCCTTCTGATAGCACCTCCTTGCCTCCTCTTCCAACTGGTGTCCTTTTCCTTCTGTCTTCTTCAAATTCCTCCTCAAATTGTTGCCTAAATGTTCTGTCTAAACCATTCACACTAACCCTTTGATTTGTGTCAAAAAAGGAGCAGACTTAATAATACATTTGTCATTCGAACTAAAGCAGCCTTATGTGTAGCACTTACAGTAGTACATGAAGCCTAACTGAAACTGTGCGTTGGGCCATCCTTTCTCTGCAGCTTTCTGAAAGTATTTAAGTGCTTCTGCATAATTCTGCAAGACAATTACACTTTGTTACTCAAAGGTACATGCATAACTCCATGGTAACAGTTGCCTTCCACTTTTTTTTTTAAGAGCATAGACAGTGCCCTATGTGATTCAGGCTAATTAAAATAGTATCAGAAGTATTATACATTTTATTTCATTATTATACTAGATTCTATTAGGAAATAATTATCCCATTTTCATTGTAAATTATGCCTTTTCCTACACTGACAGTAGGTTTTGTTAGATGTTGGGGGAAGGTCACTCAAAAGGCAGAGGCTGAACAAATTTCTCTATCAAAAAATCCTCATGGGTTAGATGATTCTATGATTCTAAGATATAATTAGGGTTGTTATTCTTGTCACAAGCTTGTTCTATTTTATTCCCTATTATCAGATATGATAGTTTGGCAAACCAGGTAATAAAGACCAATTCCTTTAAATTAATGAATTTCAGCCTAGTAAATTGCTAGACACATGCTGAAAAGACAATAAAATAATTTAACTTACCACAGGAACTCCTTTCCCATGAAAGTAAAGAAGGCCGAGCCCATGAAGACCAATCGCATTGCCCTAGAACAGGTTTAAAACCCAAGTGAAGCCCCAGAAGGATGTACAATAAGGAGAATTATTGCAAAATCATTCAAAATATTTGAAATGCACCCAGTAGGAGACAAATTAAGGCAGATTAATCAGGCAGTTGGTAAGTCATCCTGACCCTCTCTAGTGTCTCCTTAAACACCTTCATGGCCCTCCTCTGACTGGAAAAGAAAAGAGGGAAATGAAAGTCAAATCTTTCCTCCATTCTCTCATTCAGCGTTTGTTTAGTGCTTGCTTTGTGTGACTCCATAATAGGCACTGGGCAGAGGTAGGAGGTGAAAGTCAGAAGATGAATAAATGATGAAGCCTGCCTTACAGGCTAGTGGGTTCTGACCCAGGAAGTAGGACCTCTTAAAGTAATCATGTCAACTGTGGTGAGTCCTATAGCAGAGACAGACTGGGAGTGTTGCGGGCCCCCAGGACAGGGACACACACCTGCGTGGGTGAGGCTAGGGATGGAGCAGACCGAGTTGTCAGAGGTGGTGACATTTGAGCTTGGTCTTAAAGGGTTAGTGTAAGAGTTTTCCAGAAGGGAGAACTCTATCTAGACATTTGTTATCTGCTTTGGTCAAAGGAGGTTGACATGAATGTCCAAAAAACATGTTAGAGACTCTGTGGATGTCAGTCTAGCCATTATGGATGGCAAAGCGCCATTGGCATATGTTTCTTCATTCAAATTTTACTGCTTATAACATCACCAATGTTTTCTTTTCCACTTGATGCTAAATTAATTGCCATTTCTTCTGATCAGTGTTCTGAATAGCCTAGGAAAGGGAGTGTAGAGCACACTTAGCATTTAGCAAGTGTTCAAATATACTGATACCTAGCCTATCAATCCTGGATGAAGACTGAACCTTGCAAATGATTTCCCCAACCAGGAAACTCACTTTTCCTTTAATCTCCCATCATGCATTTTACCCTCTAGGGGCTGAGTAAGGAGTCATGTTTGTTTGGCCACTTGGTTTTCATTCAGCGGACCTGTAGGTTTGTAATATTACATGTTTATAAGTACTTCCTCAGGAACTTAAGTTCTGATAGAAACTCTCCAAATTTCTTTTTACCACCTAAACGTATTTATTTGTAATTACTTTTAATAATCTAATGATTTCACTGTAATTATTTGTGGATGCAGCCAGAGTACTCCTCTGTGATACAGGAATAGCACATAACTAGAGAAGGCATAGTTCAAAAATTATTTCAAGACTCTGAAGTTTGAGCCTATGCATATCAAAGGGCCAGTTATTGTAAGGATTCTGAAGGATGGTCCACCTGTATTCAAGACAGCTGGTACACGTCTGCTGTCTCCTACCCTCTTCTCCTCTGACTACATCCACCTGTGGTCCCAGGAGTTTTGGGATAGTCTGCTCTGGGGGGTTAGGGCTTGTTGTGATGGGTGTGGTAAAGTCTGGTGAGTCTGTCTTCTTCTAACTATCCTCACTTAGATGTTGAGAAAAATGGGAGGGAAGGGAAATGAGAGGAAGTAAGGATGAAGGGAGAGGAGGAAGAGAAAGGGTAGAATACTGGGAACAAATTTCTTTCTTTCTCTAGCAGAGTCTTTGGGAAACCAGGGGCTCATTGGATGACTTACCAACTGTTTAAGGCCCAGACTATCTGTTAAGGGTACATTCAGGTCAGGAGTGGCCAACTCAGATACCTCCAGAGCTATGCAGGTGATGTCAGAAGTACATTAAGCCAGGTGATGGGGGAGTGGTGGAGACTGAGGCCACCAGAGAGCACCTGCCCCGTCTAAAGGCAGCACCTGCTCCACCCTCTGCAGCCAGTTCTCATTACATGGAATAGCCACCTCTATTGGTCAGCTCTTCTTGCTTTCCAAGAAAAGCTGGATGTCCAGATTTTGATATGAAATTTCCTAATTTTTAAAACACTTTCTGGGCCAAACAAAACACGTGTGTAGCTATCCCCCCATATATAACTTCCGCTTTAGGGCTCAACGCTCTTGCCTAGGTTAACTGACAAGAACTCGGGGAGCAGATAGTCATTACGTGTCAAACATGTAATGACCCCCTACTGGGCATTGAGACAGATGCCCCTCTAGGTGAACAGACACAGCCTTCAGACGTAGGAGAGAAGGCACAGGGTAGAAGCAGTGAGGTTCTAGAGCTACGCAGAGTGAATGCTGGGCAAGTTCAGAAGAGGGAAAAGATTATGCACGTCGAGGGGGTAGGAGTGGCTTTGTTGGGGGAGAGAGGACTGGATTCTGCTTGGGGGGGTGGGTGGGCTTCAGAATGAGGGATTCTGGGAAGCAGGGGAAGGGCAAAAGTGTGTCGATGGGGATGGGCCTGATGTGCTCAGAGGTGTGAGAGGAAATCAGAAAAATGTGATCTGACTTGGGCCCAGCATCACATAGGATAGCTGTTCATGTTTCTAAGTAAGACACAACAAGTCATGAAGTCTGTGGCCTTGCATCCTGGTACTGACATGACCTAAAAACAAATTAAAGAGCAACAGCTTAAAAAGAAAAATGTAGTAAGAAAAGAGAATGAATGTGCAAGAATGGGAGACAGAAAATCTGCACTTTGGTAGTCAAGTGACCCCATGTGAGAAATCTAATAAATTTTCAGGAGATGATAAAGGAATACAGGCCTTGTCCACCTGATGCCCTTCAGCATAATTAGCTTAAGTTCAATTTTAGATTTCCTCCGTAAAGAAGAGTAGCTCAGGTCACTACTGGTTACGCAGCCCTGCACAGCTTGGGAGCTGGGTTAATTTACACACTCAGCTCCCCGGCGTGATTCCTGTGCGCTGACAAACCAGCACCACTTGCCAGATTACACGAGCTCTTCCTCTGTAGCATTGCCCCGCCTCTTCTTCAGTCTGCTCTCCTTGCCACCCTCGTCTCACAGTTCTCCGGATGACTGTCTTACTGAGCAACAATTTCATACAAATTACAAGGGAGAGGAGCTGAATACCAGCCTTCTCAGTAATTTACACCACAATAGCAGCAGCTCCGAGGTGCTAGTCATTTATAAATAGGCTCCTAAAGCAGCATGTGGGCTTCTAAAAACTGAGAACAGTTGAAAATATTCCCCATTTGAACACATCTCTACTGCCAGGGTTGCCGTGTGACAGTGTAAGACAGCAACAAGCTCCTACTGTGCCAGGGTCGAAAGTCTGTCAGGGCCATTCACCAGCAGGGGGCTGATGGGTGTTGCCATGAAGATGTTCTTTATGCACAAAAGGGGTTCAGGGTAGTCCCCTAAATTTTATCTGACAGATACCAGCCTCACTGAGCTTAGGAAAAGGCAAAAACTTCAGTGGCAGGAGCTGTACTATACCATTTTTATGTTTCCTCACAGATCCAACCCAGTCTGCCTTGGACATGCTTTGAAGTTCATTCCACCTAACTGGCCCCAGACTGCAAAAGATCACAGCTGACACACAGCATTTGCCACGGGCAGGCACCACTTTCAGGACTTCATAATATGAGGCACGTAAATATTAACCCATTAAATCCTGACAACAACAATATGAGGCAAACTTTCTTATATTCTCATTTTATAGATAGGTAAATTGAGGCACAGAGAGGTTAAGTAACTTGCCCGTGGTCACACAGCTAGTAAGTTGCAAGACTGCCTTTCATACCAGGGATTCTGTCTCCAGCGCCATGCTTACAGCCATTCTGTCCTGGCTGCCTGACAACCTTCTGCCTGAGCCAGGGGGATTTCTGGCCTCTGGGTAAAGTCAAACGGGAGACATCTGTACTGAACCCACTGCAGTTACTGACTGAGTTTCCCCTTCTTTTGTCCTCATCTTTCTTGTTTCCTGTTTCCTGAGCTAGATGGCTTCATCTCCTGCACTGCGGAGGGGAGAGCTGAGCTTCTGTCTGGCCTCCAGCTAGGACAGCGCAAATCACTGCCATTTTCCACTTACCAAAAAGGCAGGATGTGCCTCCGCCTACCCTAACCCCATATTTTATTGTCAAAGACAGTCTTCTTCACCTCCCGGGAGTTCGTTAGCCAGGCCTAGGGCTCTGAAGCCACCTCTTCCGCACCAGTCTGTGTGTTATAAAAGGCAAGTGTTTACACGTGTTTACAGAAATGGGCTGAGTACATACCTTACTCGCTGCCATGGAGAAGTATTTGAAGGCAGTTGCGTTGTTTTGTGGTGCCGCAGCATTCCCCTCCAAGTACATCTACAAAACACAAACAAAAACAGGATGTACAAGCTAAGGACTCTGAGGGTGATGAAATGCTTCAGAACTACGTAGAGGTGACGGCTGCACAACATTGTGAATGTAGTAAATGCCACTGAAGTGTACACTTTAAAATGGTTAATTTTATGTTATTTGAACTTCGCCTCAATTTTAATAAAAGGAGAAGCTGAGGAAACACTCTGTTACATACATTCTGGAGTGACCTTGCACAGGGGGAAAAAGATCCTATTTGTGATTTTTCATGTTTCCTTGCATCTAAGTGTCCTGTAGGTAGCACTTCTGGAAGCAGGGCTCTTGTCCCCATGGTCACGAAGCAGACTGGCTGCAGGGATCCAAGGGCAGCATGCGAGGGCGTGAGTGGTCTTTGAAGGAGAGAAGAAGATGCCTTTTCAGAGGGACCCTCCACACCGGCTCCTCCCAACAGGAATGGCCCGGGGATGGAATTTGGGCAGCCTGGAGCTGATTCTCGTCCCAGGGCTGGAGGTGGGAGGCACCTCGCTGGGTCGAAGACTGTCCCAGTCTTCGATGCACAACTAGCCCAGACCTCCTGTTACACGCCAGGGGCGCACAGGCGGGGCTCTGAGCTGCATTCAGCCATGTGCACTTTCAAGACTGCTTTTGGTGCCTCAGATAAAGACCACTATTGTCTGAGGCTTCTTTCCAAACTGCCACCACAAGAATACTGCCCCCAGTTTGTACCTGAATGCCCTACTCAGCTGCTTCCACAAAGGGGCATGCAGCCCTGTCTCCCTACACTGGGTTCAATTGGTTAGTACTGTTAGGTTTTAAGAAATGAAAAATATTGGTCAAGATGAAGCAAGTACCTTTCCTATAAACGCCATGGCATTTGCACTTCCAGCTTTCGCTGCCTTTAAGAAGTAGTATAATGCTTTCTGGAGAGAAAAGGAACAGTATTATTGATAGTCATGAATATATCCCACATAATGGCTTTTTGAACCAAATTTTATTTCATTCAACATGTAGTCAAAACATATGCGTGAAATACCCACTTTGTTCAAGGCACTACTCTGAATGCTAATTCAACCATAAATCTGAAGACTGGGAGATATATAGATATATCTCAGATGTATAATTTGAGAATGCGGGGCTTGCTTCTCACATTTGGAAAGGCGTGATGGGCATCTGACTTTGTGGAGGAGAGAGAAATCCCAGCTGTAGAACTCAGTAGTCTCCTGTTTAGAAGAAGTACACTTGCATGTTGACACATTTGAGAAGACTGTAACTAGCAGCACTGGCTGTACAGTGCCCTGATGTCTACAAGGCAGAGGGAGGAGGACCAGACACTTCTGGCTGCCTGCTGAGACCAGATCTTTCTGCAGAGGTGAACTTCAGACCAGTTCTTTCTAAATCAAATTGAAGGGGGCCACCAAAGCCTCTGGTTCTGTGTCGTAACATCACATGAAATGCTCAGTCTAGAACACATGAGAGCTGACCTGTCTTGCTGCCTCATTCCTTAGACCTCATCCTGACTTTCCACAAGTGCTCCTCAGAGACCACGTGGAGTAGTAAAAAGAAATCAGCCCCAGGAATGAGAAATGCAGACACTCTCCAAAGTGTCTCATCAGGACACTACTCTCTGCTCTTTAGAAAGCCTCGACTACATTGATGTGCAAGGCTCTGCATCTAACCAAAGAGGAGAGAATGTTTAAGGAAGAAATGTAGGCAGTTCTTTTATTTATAAATTTGCTCTAGAAATACTGCCAACCTATTTGAGACCAGCACTCTTGTCACTAAAGTCGGTCCACCTTGTGGACATAAAGTAAATTCACAAGCCACCTGTGCTGGACCTGTCACATCACACATCCACTTAGCCATGCAACTCTTCTGTTCTTTGTTTATCCTTTCAAGAACTTGATTGAAACCTGCTATATATATGAAGAATGTTAGGTATTATAGGTGATTCAGAGATGAAAAAAAACTGTCTCTACGTTTGTTCCCTAACAACACTGCTGAGATAAAGGGGTATATGTAAATAGCAACAAGACAATAAGAGATAGGTGGGATAAGAGGAACACTAAAAAGAATTAGAGGAGTTTAGAATAACAGAAATTGTACCGAGTTCTGTGATGAGTGTTTTGCAAGCTTTTTCTTACCTAATCTTCACAGCAGCACTGGAAGGAAGGTGCTGTTACTATCTGAGCCTACTGAGTGAACCTCAGAGTCATGCAGCTGGTACTGGCATCAAGCCAGCAGCCTGAGTCCAACTGCCATGTACTTGGCACTCTGCCTTCACAGTTTAAAGAAGGAGGACTTAAATGATAAAGGTCTCAAGAAAGATGCAGAGAATGCATGGTACAGAGGACATCACAGGCTGAAGGAAAACAAGAACAAAGAGTGGAGATGGGGAAGTCCAAGTTGTGTCCAGGAAATAGTGATTACTTCAGTATGGCTGAAGGAGAACATCCAAAAGCCAAGATTTGCAAAAATGTGATGGAGTCATATTAGAAACAGTCTTGAATACCAGGCTAAGGACTTTGATTCTATTTGGTAAGAATAGAAGCCATTGGAGATTGACGAGCATGAGGGAGCCTTGAAATAAATGCTGTCTAAAATGTCTGGAATAACGTAGGTGTTGACTGGGTAGGAGGAAGTTGCAAGCAATGTACGAGCTACCAATTATACATATATATTTTTTTATTTACATATGTATTGTCATTGAAGCGTAGTCAGTTTACAAGTGCTCATGGAATATTCTCTAGGATAGACCACATACTCAGGCACAAAAGAAGCCTCAGCAAATTTAAGAAAATAGAAATTATTTCAAGCATCTTCTCTGAAAACAAACATATATTGATAAATACATCAAATGTATGATCAGATGTATGATTTACCAATCACATTTATCAGAGCACATCGATATAAAAAATAACAATATTTCTCGTGAATGCCTCTACTGAGCCAAGACCCAAATATACCCTGAGATAACTATAATTCATGCAAGGCACATAACTCCAGGCCTTGGTTTCCTCATTTGTGTTCTCCTCCTCTGTGCTCTTGGGGCACCCTGTCCTTCCCTATCATGGCATGCATCCTTGGATTTAATTGTCTGCTTAATTTTCTGTCTCCCCGGAGATGAATCTTCTGTATTTAGTACAGTGCCTACTGTATATCAGGCACTCAGAAAATATTTCTGGGGTGAATGAATAAGTTCATTCAATGAAGGGATAAATCTGTCAATCTCTAAAACAAGGGGACTGGATTTTAATCTTTATGGTCCCTTCTAACTCTAACACTATGATTCTATCAAACCACTTTCAAAGTACAGTTTCAGAATTTGGGCTCAAATATTTGGCAATAGAGAGTTCTAGAAAAAAGTTACACTCTGGGAAAATAGATTTCAACTATTCAAAGAGAATACTCTATTCCCTAGAAGCAAATAAGAATCCTGGAGTTTTCCCCATCCTTCAATAATGATCCCATAAAGACCAAAGGAATTGAGGTTCTAATCCCCTCTTCCACTCTCCTGGCTTATTTGGCATTTCGATTTTCTTTTCTTTCTCTTTACATTAACCTGCCTTTAATGCTGTTGCTTCAATTGTATAAACACTTATTAAATACTGTGTGACAGTACCATGCAAGCTATTTATGATGGATATGCATGGGTCAACCTGAGTTCTTGCTCTCAAAGAGTTAAGATCAAGTATCCACCCATCCATCCATTCATCTATCCATCTGCTATGGTCTGCATATTTGTGTTTCCCCCTAGTTCGTATGTCGAAAACCTAATGTTCAAGGTGATAGGAAGTGGAGTCTTTGAGAGGTGACTGGCAGAGCTCTCATGAATGGGATTAGTGCCCTTAAAGAGAGCTAGCTTGCACCTTCTGCTACGTGAGGACACAATGAGAAGCCTGCAAATTGTAAGAGGACCCTCACCCAACCATGCTGGTGCCCTGATCTCAGACTTCCAGCTTCCCAAACTGTGAGAAATAGATTTACATTGTTTGTAAGCCACCCAGTCTATGGTATTTTTGTTACAACAGCTCAAATAGACTAAGACACCATCCATTCATCCACTCATCCTGAAAATATTTACTGAGCACCTACCACCATATTTTACTGATTCTAAGATATGTACCTCCCCTCATCTCCCATTTTAATAAGGGCATTTCTTACTACCAATGGCATCATATAATTTATATTGGCAGTATTTTTTCTTTCTCAGTAGAACATAATGTATCTTATAATCGATGGTATCTTAGATAGGATGAAATACAGTATGTCTCAGGCACTATGCTAAGTGAAGTTTTATTATTTGAATACACATCTTTTTTTTTTTAAAAAAGTAAACATGATTTTCTCATTGCTTCTAAGAAAGTCCCTAGTTTAATCCGTTTGTAACACTTCCTGTAGAATGAAATACCAAGAAAATGCACTGTTCTAAAAACATTTATGAATCCTTCTTTTGTCCCAGACTCACCCTTAAAAGGGATAATATTAACTCTTTTCTTTTTAATGGGTGTCAGGGTGGCCAAAGCAGTTGCCCTTACATATTTGGTATATTCCTCTGCTAGATTTAATTTAATTATGCCTTATCCTCTTTAATAATATGCACCAAACACACAGCTTTCCTAATCCAATTCATTCTGAGCCTGTATATAGTTAGAAATGCAAATGACACTAAAATGTATGTGTACAAATTCAAGATAATGTAATCAAGAATTGCGTATACAATACTCTTCAGTAATTAAGAACTTGGTGTTGGGGGAGGGGGAGATGAAAATGTTGCCTGCAGTAACAACTCCTAAGAGAAATTAATTCAATCAAACAATAAGGTAGGGGGAAGACAAGCTAGTCATTTCCAGGTATTTTCATATTTAATTTGCTGGGCAGTACTGGGCATCATTTATATTTATAAAGAGCCTTACATTAATAATTTTCTTTGGTGGACTGAAACATTAGCATACTGGCTCAAGTGGTGGTTCTCAGGCTAAGGAGAAACGTCTAATTCTTAGGATGTTGTCATTCATTCATTTATTCATTTATTCAATACTTAAATAAGTATTCAATATTAAATACTTACTAAGTACCTAATACGTAGCAGGTACGAATCTGAGTACAGGGTACACAGTAGTGAGCAAGATAGATAGGAATTTACATTCCATTGTGGGGAGACAGTAAACAAGTTAAGATGGGTATAGTTCAGGGAGTGCAAGGGGCTAGAGAAAAATAGACATGGCATGATGACATGGGTGATGGAGTAGCAGAGTTGATGAAGAAAATCCTCTCTGAGGAAGTAAGGCTTGAAGGATGAGAAGCTAGCCATGGGAAGAGCTGCAGTGACAGCCTTTCAGAAATTGGGTTTATCCTTTTATCTTATCTATCTCCTCCTCATCCCCCATGTCATTCCAAGTTGATTTTGGTGCAGCTAAGCTGTGGTCAAGTTGCAAAAATGACCACAATACTTTGCAGTCCTGCCTGTTTAGAGGAGGAATTCATTTTCCTATTCCTTCAATACTGGCTGCCCTCAAGACTTCTTTTGACCAAAAGAATATGGCAGAAGTGATTTGTGAGTTCTGACCCTAAGCCTCAAGAGACTTCTGCAATTGTATTCATAAAACCTTTGACCGCCACGTGAAAAGCTTGGGCCAACTGGCTGGAAGAGGAGAGCATGTGGAAAGACTCAGCCATCCTGGCTGTCACGGACGAGGCCATCGTAAATGGGCCAGCCCTGGCCAAAAGTCTAGTTAACTACAGATGTGTGAGCAAGCCCTGCCAAGATTAGCTGAGCCTGACCCAGAGTCACTTAGCTGAGCCCAGTCATCACTACTGACCTGCCAAAATCATGAATGAAATAAGTGATTGTTGTTTTAAGCCACTAGGTTTGGGAGTGGTTTATGATGGCAGCCTAAGCTAACTGATACTTAAGCCAATACTTTGAATGGAGATACTTTGATACTTTGATTGGAGACCCCCCTTCTTCTCTCTATCATGCAAGTTCAAGTTTATCAGGATGAGGAAGGCAGGAAGGATCAGCTTGTGCTTGTCAAACTACTGGGATAGACAGCTCTGGAATTAAACCAGCCTTTTTGAGATGTCTGGACGGGAAGAATGGGGCCCAACCCACCATCAGAAAATTAGAAGCAACCTGAGAGGTTATGTCATTCCTTCTTCTTGCTTTATGGGTGAGGAAACTAGATTTTCATGGCTAGGGTTTTTTTTAATTTGTTTTTTTGTTTTTTGCCCAGGTCAAAAGTAAGTATGGCTTAATGAAGAGAGAACAGGATTCGGATGCAGAAATCCTGAGTTCACATTCTGCTTCTTAACAGTCTCACTACCTGGCTGTGAGATTTGAAACAATGCACTTCATCTCTCCAGCTGCAGGTTCTCATCTGTAAAGCAGAGGTAATAAATGTGAACGAGCTCCCAGGAGAGCCTGGCCGGGCCCCTGGGTGATGCCCAGCTGCCTGGCTGGTGCCATCACAGCCCAGACTCTTCTCCTGCCAGCCTTGCTTGCACCTCATTCTCGCCAGGAGGCAGTCACAGATCCCACTGCCACTCATGGTGGCTGGAGTTGACTGTGGGACTTTATATACTCCACAAAGATTAGTGAAGATTCCGTATAGGTGTGGTCTGGGTGCCTTCACACTCGATCGAAATTTATCTTTATGGAAAGAGGAAATTCTTCTCAGTTATCTCAGTTATGGGTCTCATAGTTAACAGGAGAACCTCATGGCAGGCTGAAATCTGATGTTGGGCTAATATTCTGAATACAGAACTTCTCATCTAAGAAGCTACAACCTTAGTTATTATGAAGATTAAAAAAAATCTGAAGACCTTCCACTGAGCTGTCTTGGGATGCATATGCTTATTTCAATTGCTACCCATTTTATCACATTTTATAAAATTAATTTCGACATTTACCTAATGTGTATAGTACCTCATGTAAAACACAAATTATAGTGCCAAAAACACGTTCATAAAATAACAATATAAAATGAAATGGGAAGTAATAACAGATCACTCTTTTACGTAACTGTTTAGCCATTGGGACTATGTTGAAATAGAGTATGTGTTCCTTTGAGACAGTGAGCACATGGCTCCTACAAAATGACAAGGGCTGCAAAATCATCTTTTAAAAAGAATCCTAGTTACTTCCCCAGATCTGTGGGGATCTAGGGCCTTGAAGCCG